GTCAAAAATCTGTAAACAGCTTTTGCTTTGCTGAGGTTGGTGAATGTTTTATGATGTAGGTGGTATATTAAAAATATTTTGGAGTTCTCTCTACATGCTGAGCTGACCTGAGTAACCACCTAGAATTCACTGAGCCTGTCCCACATCATCTATCTTCCAGGTGTCCTCCCGCTCCAACATGCCTACACCCCATCTAGGCATTCCCCCCAGGGCACTCCGAGTTGGTGATCAGTAATTGAGCATCATGGAGGAAAAACAGAACAGACCAAATGGAAACAACTGTTTCTCACCGTTCCATAGAGATGGTTTCTGTTTACAGCCCTCTCCACTGTCACTCCCAGGCCCTGGCAATGGTGGCCAATGAGTGGCATGCCCCATCCGAGCCTATGAATATGGTTAGCACACACCAGACTTCCATGCAAACGCCACCGTGGAAACGAGAGAACCAGGACAGGTGGGCAGAGCGAAGCACAGCCGTCCGAGGGAAAGCCTCGCCATGCATGCACCACCTGAACCAGATCCGAGCGCGAGAGGTCGGGCTGCTGAGTGAGGAGCAGTTCTGAGCCCCACCCCAGGAAGACAGGATTTCTCTCCCAAGCCACCACCCAGAAGGCAGTCCCAGCTTTTCTCTGGTTTGCCGGGTGACTGACAGGCCGCCCACCACCCCGCTGTGGCAGGATCCCTTGGCAGAGGCCTACCTTGCAGTGTGTGGTGCTGACAGGAAGCCCGATGTTGGAGGCAACCACCACCGTGAATGCCGAGGCCAGTTCAATGGTGAAGCCACTGTGGGAGGGAGCACAAGGGGACACGTCACAGCGCTCTTTGTATCGCCCTCACTGACTCCCCGCGGGCGCCACACTCGCACCAGACGTCTGCGGGTCGATTGCTGACTGCCGCCCGAGCCACAGCGACCACGAACAGAACGAGCCACTGCTGCATGAAGGCTACAACTCACGCTCGGACTCGCAGTACACTGCTTACAGCCCGGACAGCCTGGCTTTTCTGATGCGCTTTTCAAAAACCACAGTGTCAGAACTGGGTCAGAAATCCCTGCTGTGGGGGAAAAAAAGGAGGCACGAAAAGTGAATTAGCCATTTCTAAAGTGGCTAGGAAAAACTATGCTTTCATTTTGAACATGAACACTTAAAAAAGGGTATTTTCTAAGACGACCAAAATTCTTTTCAAATTAATTGGCTGAATCTGTTGTTAAAATTAGTTTCAACCACAAAAACTTAGTAGGCTTTCTTTTCCTTTTCTAATTTTGTTTTTTAAAATAAGAAAGAAAAGATTTCTTCTAAACCACAACAAAAAACCAGAATTCACAGCCACCGAGTCACTTCTGACTCGCAGTAAGCCTACAGG